ATGCCTTTCTATATTCAAAACCTTTTTTCTAGTCGCAACAGAGGGGGAGAGAAGTGCGCGCGCATCTGCGTACACGCGCACGACAGGACGTTTGCCGAGAACTTCCTCTGCTGAGAGAACCAATAAAACCTTTCTTTCTCACCATAGAGGTGGGGCGACTGAAAGACCCGCCCCTCCAAGCAAGCGCACATCGTCTGGAGTGATTCCTCCCGTTAGTGGCTGTCATGGTCTGTTGTGGAGCCGCGGCGTAGCCTTCCCTCCCCCTGGTGGCCGTTGAGAAGACAGGCTGAGGGTGAGTGAGTGGACAAGGGCGTATGTAGGGGAAGAAGCTCGCTCTCCTCTCGATGAAAGGCCGGAGGCTTCTTCCCTTCTAAAAGAGGGAAAGATGAGGTCGGGGGACGGGGGGAAGGGACGGGGGGACCAGTCGGGAAAAAGTACGTTTCAGGAAGGAAACCGAAGTAGGGGGTGCTTGTGATACCGCTGCTATCATATTATTCGCCTCATCCGAGATTACTTCTGTGATCTCATACAGTTTGCACTTAGATTTTTCCGAAACTTAGTATCCTCATCCTTGTTGCTTGGACCTTGACATTTCTCTTGCCGGGTGTTTTCCCTTTGGCACTCCCTGTTCGGGAAAAGAGGCGTAGCCGGATGGCAGCGGGTAAATTTGCAGAAGGCGAACTCTCTTTTCTGCACCCTTATAAGAAAAGGAGCGCCACATTTCTTCAATCATTTTCCCTTCCAGAGCTCTGGTTCTGCCTTTAAAAGAAGATGCGGGGAGGAGTCTGGGGGGAAGGGTAGGGATCGAGTGCAGATCTCGGTATGTCTAGCCTAACTTCTCGCACGTGATATGGGTATAGGATGACAGCCTTAAATAGAAATCTTTGCTAGGGTGTAAATCTTAAAAGGAAAAGAGCAAAATAGACAAAGAATAAGTTAAACGTTGATACCGTGATAAATTCCTGACTGAACGATGCACTATTTGTGGTGTGCAAGGCATCCTTGGGGTAGTGCCGGGAGGAAGGGGCAAGCGGAAACGTTTGCCTAATAACATCGTTGTAGTGAAGTAACTTTTACATTTGCACCAAACATGTCGCCAGAATGTAATTATTGCATTTTCATGGTGATGACGTTATCCTGCATGGGTTGTCTTTTGACGTCTTTGAAGTTTGCTACTGTTGTAACTTTTCTATGGCATTGCATGTTATTTTGTACATTTATCTTCAACATTAAAATTATTGCTAATATAATTTTAAAAGTTTTGAAATTCAGGGAATTTTCAGAATTCAAAGAGTTTTCATGCAGCTATGATATAAAGTTGCAATTTTGAATTTGTTGAAATGTTGCATACATGTTTTACATAACATTAGAAGTGAGTATATAATTATTTTACTGTTATAAACATGAGCTTTTAGTCTGCTGGAAAATTGTTGGGAAATTATGATCAACTCAAGTTTCTTGCTTCATCATACTATGTTCTCTGAAAGTAAAATATAATGTTTCATTTTTCTTCCTTTGGAGTGTCTGCTTTCAGAGTGAAAATTTAGGTACTTGAGACACCACAGAATAATTCTAAAAATATTTTACAAATTTTATTATGGATTGTATAAATGAAACACATTTCTCCTTTCATCCATTTTTAAAAGATATAATTAGAAGACTACTAAAACTTTAAATTGAAAACATAGAATTTTAGTCAGTCAATCTTTATATTCATCTTTGACCAACGTAAGAATTGCAAAATAATTTATGAAATATTTCAAATAGATACTATTCAAAAATAACTATGATATTATGTATTACTATAAAATATCAACAACACTAAATAAAGTGTATGGATGTAATATGTAGTCCAAAATCAATATAACACAATAAATATTAAAATTAACCTAAACAGAAGTAAAATTAAATTAGTAATTATATATAATTTAAAAATAATATTTAACTATTCCAAACTGAAACAAATTTATTTCTTCAAATGTATTTGAAGAATCATTGAATTAAAAAACAAAAGGCTAAAAATACAAAAATAAAGATTTATGTTGTAATTAATGCTAACTCTATAGTAGATCTTGCCAAATGTTATATGCTGCCCCGATAACCTGTTTGCTTTATAAATTACAAGTGAACAATTATCTTGAAGTGATAAATGTACATAAAATTAGATATAATGAATATATAAGATATATGTTCTGTAATAGAGAAATAAGATAGATATATATAATACAAAAATAATGTAGAAAAGCATATGCAACTGTTTTAAAATGCCTATTTCATAGGCACAGGCATTTTATGTACTGTCTTTTCTTTTACCTTCTTTCTAATCTCTCTGGTTTTACCCCTTTTTATTTAGAATAACGTCTAGTAAGTACTTTTGAAGTTTGCATCTAATTTCCAAATAATAATGGTATGTGTAGTGTATATAGACAATTTTGAAGGCATTTAATTTTCTCCATAATTTTATTTGAGAAATAAATGAAAATGATAAGACCTCCCCAGATAATAAGCCCAATCGGGCTTTTGAGAGCCTGGGCTAAAAAAAGCCTTCCCCTGAAAATAAGCCCTTCCCAAAAATATTGCAGCACAGCAGCAGCCATGAGGTGACAATGCTCGCCGCCTCCTGCATCTCAAAAATAATAACGTACGTGTGTGTGTGTGTGTGTGTGTGTGTGTGTTCGTGTTCATATGTTTTCACGGGTGTAGGTGAGCTGGTCTTGTTGTATTTGGGTCTTTTCCCATGTAAGATTGAGATTGTCTTGGCAATGTTTTGGCGAAGTCTCACTCGCCATCTTCAGACTGGGTTTTGGGCTTAAAGCGTAACGGAGCTGCCGTCTTTTCTAAATATTGGTCGGGGTGTATGGAGTGCTGGCTTTGTTTCAGTAAGTGGAATTATTGGTTGTGTGGTTGTATCATGATTGGTAGATTGGTGCTGATTGGTGGTGGCTGTGTGTCCATTGTTGTTTCGTGTTGTAAGGGCTTGGGGGGTAGGTGGGGCTCTTTGTTGACTAGGGCTGGTTTCC